GAGGGTCACACACATATAGTAGGCATTGCGATGAGTAGAGGTTCAGTTATGAGATATCTGATGGAGCCCTTGTCTTATTGGATGCAGATCCAATACCCATTAGGGGAGGACCCATTAGGGTTTGACACGGGACCTCTATAAATAAGAGGGATTCACAGCCTCATAGGCTAGAGTCTTTGCTTGCCTTTGCTATTCTCCTCTCCCTCTCCACCTCAGAGTAGGCCTGGAGTTTTGAGGAGCGTCGTCGCAACCCTGCTGTGTGGATCACCGCTAGAGAGGAGGACGCTTGACCTCCTTCACCCTCTCCTAAGGATCTGCAAGGAAACAGGGATATACGATCTCCCTAGGTAACACAATCTCTATACGCAGTTTTGTATTTTGCAGATTTTTGCGCACCAATCTTCCCACGACGACGAACATCTTTTTGGGAATCGGGGATTTTTGTTTTCTTGTTCTTCCGCTGCGCATATGATGTCGCCCCCTATGATTTCCCAACAATGATCAAGTTATCAAAAGTTAATTGTCTCTTCAATATAACCATTAAATATGTTTTGTATCATTTATATTCTATTTCATCAATTAATATAGGAGCTTTTATTATTTATCCTATCAGATAAATGTCGTTCCTATTATGAATTATTCAATTAACCTGAATTATCATGATTATTAATCAATATATGTAAGTACTAAAATTTTAAATACCGAATATATTCCTTATACATTCACTATGTACTATTTTTGACGTTTTGTTTTTTAAACTTAAATTTAGATGGGCATGTGAAAAATTACTAATTTAGGAGCGATATTTATATTTTAAAAAGGTTACAATATACACCTCAATTCCATGTTACAACAACTTGTGAATTAGTATATATATATATATATATATATATATACTAAATTTAAACTTAAAGAGACCAATGCAAAATCAGTAATTCATGTGTAATATTATTATTAAAATACAAAAAATATTTTAGATCGATCTTAAATCAACCATTAATATGTAGCAAAATTAACCAAAATTATAAAAAATAATAAGAAATCCGAGGAAAAATTATTCAGAATTAAATTAAGTACTCATCATATTTCATAGTCATATTCTAAATAAAAGAAGACTTATAGTTATTATTCACTCGGTTTATTTATTATGATCAACATATTCAAAGAAAGAACAATCATGAATGATATTAGAGTATATGTTTTTACTTCTCAACTCTCAATAATGATGATGGTTGAGAGATAGAGATGTCAAAGATTGACAACAACAATTATGACCAATTGTATCTCTTTGACCTATTTTGATCCAAAATATGTGAAAAATCTAATTTATTACTAATAGAAGGTGGCAATTCTAGACTCACCTTATCAGCATAGGTCACCTATCCATGCGATGATGGGGGGAGTTTGGTTGGATCTATTTTTGCATTCTATGGCTTCGCTATTCCAACCATAGACTTAAGTGATGCTGAGCAAACCCTATCATGCTTGGGAGTTTGACGAAGATGACATCATATCAGAGATATGGATCCTTCTAATCTAATGATGTATGCAAAATGAAAAGAGATATATGAGCTAGATAGCGATCGAATGACAATCCCCTTTCGATGCTCAAGCTAAAGGATGCTCCATGTAAATGAGCTTGATAATCCCAATGTCACTGTACCAAGAAGACTATTCTGTTTGGGAGAGATACATCATTTCTCCTAAATCAATTAGCAATTACCTTATCGTACGTATCTATTTATGTTGGAGTGATAATGGAGAATTACTGTAGCTGTGATAGTGCCAAGCTCTTAGTAATACATAGTCATCATTATTGGTGAGTATCAATTGCACAACACACTAGGCTTTAATTTAAGATAAGAGGATACGCAGAATAAGGTGGAGCCGACATGATCTCTCAACCGATTGGCCGATCTGCTTCGGGCCCCTTCTCGAATCGCCACAAAACTGTGGCGACAAAACTAGTCGTGATCAGATGAAATTATTAACGCCAAATTATTCCATCTCCGCCTACTCATCAATCTACTCACTTTCCACCGTCTCGTCCGCGCCACTGCCGTCGTCTACCTTGGCCGCCGCTCCCCGGGCCATTTCCAGCGCCTGAATCAAGCCCTCGAGGCACGAACCGGCATCGTCCTTCACGGACTTGGGCATCAGGTTCTCCGCCACGTCGGCCGGCGTCATCTTCACCTCCTCCATCAGCTCCTTGATGGTGTCGAACAGCGGGTGCGAGTCGATGCCCAGGTAGTTGTTGGCCAGCACCATGAACGCCTCGAAGTGGCAGTAGGACATCTCGATGTGCTTGTCCATCCTCCCCCTCCGTATCAGCGCCGGGTCCAGCTTCTCCACGTGGTTGGTGGTGAAGATTATGAGCCGCTCCCCGCCGCAGGCCGACCACAGGCCGTCGATGAAGTTGAGCAGCCCGGAGAGCGTCACCTTGCTCTCCTCCTTGTCCTCCTCCTCCCCCGGCAGCTTCGTCTTGTCTTCGCCTCCCTCGTCCTCTTTCTTGCTCTTGGTGCGCTTCCGCTTGCCGGTGAGGTCGAGCGAGCAGTCGATGTCCTCGATGACGATGATGGACTTGCTGGTCGTCCCGATGAACAGCTTCCTCAGCTCGGTGTTGTTCTTGACGGAGGTCAGCTCCAGGTCGTAGACGTCGTAGTCCAGGAAGTTGGCGATGGCGGCGATCATGGTGGACTTTCCGGTTCCGGGCGGGCCGTAGAGAAGGTAGCCCCTCTTCCACGCCTTGCCGATCTTGGCGTAGTAGTCCTTGCTGTTGCGGAAGGCGATCAGGTCGTCCATCAGCTCCCGCTTCTTCCCGGGATCCATGGCGAGCGTGTCGAAGGTGGACGGGTGCTCGAACACGACGTGGCTCCACACCGTACTCTTGGACCCATACCAATTGTTGCCGGCGTTGTTGGTGTACAGCTTGCGCTGCCGTCTCCGGAGCTCCACCTCGCGCCCCTCGCGCAGCACGTGGGCAAGGTACTGCCCGACTACGAGATCGCGGTGGCGGCGATGGAAGGTCAGCCTATAGTACCGCCGGGAATCGGGCGGCGGGTACCAGGAGATGGACTGCGGGGGAGGAGAGCGAGACACGGAGGCCCACCAGAGCTTGGCGCCCTCGAATTCGTCGGTGACCTCCTCGTGCTCGTCCATGCTGAGCGTGAGGCTGCCGCTGTCCTTGCCGAGCTCGGCCTTGAGCCTGCTGGCGTTCTGCGAGCAAGAGTTGCTGAGGTAGGCCTCGACGTAGGTGTAGGCGTCGCTGCGCTTCATGCGTTCGCCGGAGAACTCGGGGATGGTGACCTTGACGTAGGGGTAGACGAAGGCGAAGAGGCGGCGGGAGTGTTTGGTGAGGGAGTGCTCGAGGTGGTGGAGGGGGACGTAGCGGCCGACGACGGCCCACAGGAACATGATGCTGGCCACGAGGGAGCCCAGGCTCGCCCACTGATCGCTCAGCGTCGCCATTGTGGGAGTACGCAGTGGCTTCGTGGGGTCATCAACGGGCAGCGATGGCCGCTCTTTATAAAGATGGCATCAGTGGATTCGTGGTGCGAAGCAGAGGAGTCCGAGGGACACCTCGTCGGAAGATTCCCAAGGCCTCCTGTTTAGGTCGACGACTCATTCTAATTGTCTGTTTGCTTGTCTGTGCTGTGTCGGCCAACGGAACCGATTGGCGGAAGGAGATTGGAGCCAACAGCATCGTCCGTGGGCGGCGCCGCAATCGGGTTTCACCATGTTTTCCGCTAACATTTGTGGTGGGACCACCACACTACGTACATTTTGGACCCGTCTTATTTCATGCAATCCTGTACGCTGTCTCAACATGACGTAGACCGGCATGACGTCGTATGGCATACCCCAACTTTTGAGCTCATCACCTTTTTTTCTGCATGCGTCGATTTAAATACTTAAACAACGAGTATTCCATGCATTTAATATAAAAAAAGAAAAGAAAAAAAAAGTAACTTTTGTTCTTTTTTCTTTTCAATGTAAAAATAGTAGAGCGTGAATTGTTAATGACTATTAAAAATGTTTACATTTTTTCTCTCTCTTTAATCGACTTTCAAATTTTTAAAATAACTTATTTATCCCTTCAAATATTAAATTATTATGTATAAACCTTTTGAATATTTAAATTCTTCAGACATGTCATTCCTATTAGAAAGAATCCAAAATTACTAGATTGAAGGAATATATACATATATGTACGTATGCAATCTTATTATTATAATACAAAAATCTTTTAAATCAGTCTTAAATCGACCATCGATGTGTAGCAAAAATAAACACAATCATAATGATAACAACAATAACAAATAATAATTAATAACAAGCGGAAAAATTACTTAGGCTCTTACAAACTACTCATCATATATTTGTCGATATTGCCAAACAAAGCTGCATTAACTACAGACACAGATCATTGGACGAACATCCAAGTCAGGCAGTGCTTAACCTAAAAGTCACGTTCTAGATAAACAAAAAGGAAAACAAGACTTGTGGGCATTACTCACTCGATGTCCTTACCATTGTTAAGCTGTCCAAGGAAGAACGATGATGAGTGATTCGAGAGTCGTGTACAATTTCACCTCCCAACTCCACGTAATAATAATGAATTAGATATGGAGACGTCATTGATTTGGCTCCCGAGTAAAGAAGAACGTCTCATTCAATCAACTTGTGGTTTTGACTCCGAGTAAAAGTTGCATGGAAATTTCTGCACAAGACAAAAGAGTCACTTAAAATAGAAGGCGATGTCTGTCATAGTGGTATCCACCTTGCATTGTTTTGAGTGGAAGGGATACCATATGATAATAGTGTGTTTTTTCCCCGAATTTTGAATAGATATGAGCCGAAAATTTTATAAAAGCCATTGTATCTTTGTGTTTAGTTGGATTTGTATATGAAGATATGAAATTTATAGGTGTCTGATAAGGTATATTTTGGGTTTATGCCATGCTACGTTACGTCAGTGCCATACTACGCTATATTTTGGGTCAGTGCCATACTACGCTACGCTACGCTATAGCTAAGTCAGCTAAATTTATGATCAATGCCACGCTACGCTACAGCTAAGTCAGCAAGACGAGTACCCCCACGCGCTGAGTCGCCCTTGGCCGGCATTCGGCCCAAGGGGAGGCAAAGAAACAAATCAACCCACCATTGACTTGCTCGTCGAAGGGGCCAAAGTCGGCAATCACTCGACGAGGGCCATCCTTACAGGAAAGTGGCCACCGACCCTAGACGTGCTGACTCATCAGCCATAGCGCATCAGTTTCTCAACATTTTTGGCGCTAAAAGGAGAACCATGTTGTAGAAGCATCCTGTAGGAGCTCTCCCTGAGGGAGAACCACCGGTCGATCACCCCTCTATTAGGCCCGAAGATCAGCCCCTCCCCGTCCTTAGAGACGGGGGGATCCTGGCCTCGACACCAGATCACTACTAGCGCTTATTCAACGATCCAAGGTTGTCACCCCCTAGACTTACCATGGGACCCTCGGTTGTTTTACCTGAGGTGTTCCAAGCGACAATGGCGAGGATGATGCAGTTGAAGTTAATAGTAGTACACTCATCAGACCCTTCCTTATAAGTCAATCTTAATCTTGCCCACTTTCGATGTGGGACTAATCAGGGGTGTTACAAGATCGGTTCCCCAACTTGCGATTCGCTAGTCTTTATCCGAGTCGTGCCAGATCGGCCCCCCGACTTACGGCTCGCCAATCTTTTTTCGAGTCACGCCAGATCGGTCTCCCAACTTGCGACTCGCCAGTCTTTTTCCAAGTCGCGCTAGATCGATCCCCCGACTTGTGGCTCGTTAGTCTTTTTATGAGTCGCGCCAGATCAGTCTCCCGACTTGCGACTTGTCAGTCTTTTTTCGAGTCGCGCCAGATCGGTCCCCCGACTTGCGACTCACTAGTCTTTATCCAAGTCATGCCAGATCGGTCCCCTGACTTGCGACTTGCCAGTCTCAAACCTGAGCTCTAGATCAGTTACTTGGCCAACAGATCCAATCTATTCCCGAGTCACACAACTTGATCCCCTGACTAGTGACTCACCAATATTATCCTGCCTAGGCCTAGCCGCCCAACCAACAGTGCTAACCCTTCCCAAAGCACAGGACGCCACCCCCCAAACTGCCTCACTACGAGCCAATCTAACTTTCCCTCGTAAGCAATCAATACATCCGCGGCCACATCCAGGGGGAGAAGTGATAAGGTATATTTTGGGACCAAGCCATATCATGATCAATGCCACACCATGCTACAACCAAGTCAGCAAGAAGAGCACCTCCACACGTCGAGCCAGAATCCGTACCAAAGCGTTGCTCGGTACGTCTCGTCCCGGAAAGCTCGGGACGGTGTCATGCGGCGATCGCATAAAAATACCATCTCACCCCTCGAGGATCGGCCGCCACACCAAACCCGTGTACGACCGACCCTCGTACGGTAGTATAAAAGCCCCTAGTCGGCATCCGGCCCAGGGGGAGGCAAAGAAACAAATCAACCCACCACTAACTTTCTTGTCGGAGGGGCTAAAGTCGACATTCACCCGACGAGGGCCATCCTTGCAGGAGAGCGACCACCCTCGAGCCATGAGCATTCCAACCTTGGAGTAGTCAACCAGCATCCCGACGACGAGCCGCTAATGGGTGTTCGGACCGAGAGACGCCAATCAACATTCTGGCGTCAACACTCTGTTTCGAGGGCTTGACCGACCTCAGCAACCAGCTCAGCCAACCGAAGACTCCCAACATCAACCCGTGGACCAGGCCATGCTGACTCATCAGCCACGGCGCACGAGTTCCTCAATAGTGTCTTGTTATAATCATCCCTATTTATTTTATGAATGATAGTGGATCAAATTTAATTAGTTAATATGTGGAAGGTATATATAGAATAATTGGCAATTGTCCTCTCCTACGAAGCTCTGAGACCTAAAATATTATTCATTATCATTCTTCATATTTTCTATAAAAGTACTTTATTATAGACTCCCACAAGAGATATATTTATACATATAAGGATATTAGTTTTTTCGATTTCATACTGATGTGGATAATCTATACTAATACAAAATTAAAAGAAAGAAACGAAGAGGGCTAACTTATTACAAGAATCGAAGATGTATTGAAAATTGACATAAGCATGTCAAATAAAGATAGGCACCCTTTTCACATATCTATGATATATTAGATTTTAATCCATTGTGTTAATGTTTTCAAATTACATATCTATTTCTAACAATTGATATGAGAATAATATGTTAATGAAATCTAATTATCTAAGATCATTATATATATATATATATATATATATGAGAGAGAGAGAGAGAGAGAGATTAAATTTGTTTAATTATTATTTTACTATCAAATTAAATATTATTTTCGAATTAATGTGATGTATTATGTTCGTTCCGTGACACTATCCTTCGTGGCCTGCTAGCAGGGGATCAACACCGATGAAAGTGTGTTGGAAAGCGTGCTGCTTGTTTTGATCGACGGACGTCGTCGCGCACTGTGACGGGCAACGGCCTACCTTGGTCATCGGCCCTGTCGGGCTGCGTGAAACGGCTGAAGCGGCGATGGGTGTGGTGGCCTCGGTTGTTCTCCGACCTCAGCTACTGCACAGGTGGCGGCGTTGCTGAGTGCGACGACGGGCCAGCGGTCGCGGCGGCCTACTGTGGCTGCCGATTCTGCCATAGGCAGGGGCGGTAGTGCTGCCGTGTTGATGATTGGAGCAGAAGGGGGAACTCTGCACGGTCGCCGTTGAAGTGCGGCGGCCATTGGTGCGTTCTCGGATGCTTCGTTGGCGGTCGGCTTGATGTTGCGGCGCTGGGCGACAGTCAGTGCGACTCCATGAAGTCGATCGCCGGATCGGTGGAGGGTCGCCTGTGAAGCCGACGACAATGGAGGCGATTGTACCGCCGTTGGTGCTAGGGATAGCCGCCGGGAAGCCATGCATGGCAGAAATGACCATGATAAGGAGATCACTGCGCGGCAGCGGCGGCGACGGCGACGGATGACGACCCCTGTAAGGATGCGCCGAGAGGTTGCCGGTCGGCCGCGGAGAGCTTGCGTGGCCAACGGCGGGTAAGAGCGCTGGCAGATGCCATTGTGAAACGCAGTATAGAAGCTGCAGTGGAGAAAAGGAGTTAGGGATTAGGGTGTTTTCACCGATTAAAAGGACGCTGTTACCATCTTGCAATCATTTAATTCCAATGGATTAGCCTTAATTCTAATCTTACCCTTATGAAATTAATTAGGCTGATATCATATATTTACATTTATACCCTTCAGATTTAGCATTATTGTTTGAACAACCAAAATAACAGAAATTGTCATAAAAATAATAAATTATTTTTATTAATTTAATATAAATTATATATTTTATTGTTGATATGATTTATTATTATTCAAATTTAATTATTTATATTATCAAAAAAAATAATTATTATTTTTAGATATTTATGTGGCTACTAAATACATGAGGATAAAAGAAAAATTATGAAATATGGTTTAATTTCACATGAGAGCATG